AGAACAAATAATCCTAAAATTTATAAGGAATTATAAAAGACCCAGAATTGCCAAAGCCACACTGAAGAAAAAGAACAAAGGTGGATGAATAACCCTCCCAGCCTTTAGACAATACCACAAAGCTACAGTAATTAAAACAGCATGGTATTGGCACAAAAACAGACATATGGATCAACGGAACAGAATACAGAGCCCAGAAATAAACACACATACCTACAGTCAACTAATCTTCAACAAAGGAGTCAGAATATACAATGGAGAAAAGACAGTCTCTTTGGCAAATGGTGTTGGGAAAACTGGACAGCCATACGTAAATCAATGAAGTTAGAACACACCCTCACACCATACACAAAAATACACTCAAAATGGCTTAAAGACTTAAACATGAGACAAGATGCCATAAACCTCCTAGAAGAGAACATTGGCAAAACACTCTCTGACATAAATTGTAGCAATGTTCACCTAGAGAAGTCTACCAAGGCAATAGAAATAAAGGCAAAAACAAACAAATGGGACTTCATTAAACTTACAAGCTTTTTGCACGGCAAAGGAAACCATCAAAAAAATGAAAAGATAACCTATGGAATGAAAGAAAATATTTGCAAATGATGCAACTGACAAGGGCTTAACTTCCAGAATATACAAAAGGCACATATAATAACTCAATAAAAAAAAAACACCCAATCAAAAAATGGGCAGAAGACCTAAACAAACATTTCTCCAATGAAGACACTGGAAAAATAGGTACCTCATCACCTAAGAGCTTGTTAGAAATGTAGAATCTCAGTCCCCAACCCAGTCCAACTAAATGAGAATCTGTATTTTAATAAGCAATTCTAATGCACATTGAAGTATGAGAAGCACTTGTCTAACTCTCCACCCTTGCAGACTGAGCACATCTGAAAAATAACACTACATACAACTGCATGTGCATCTACAATAATCTCTGTAAAATTTTCAATTAAAAAAAGAACATTTCTGGGGGGTGGGTATATAGCTCAGTGGCAGAGAACATGCTTAGTATCTAGGAGGTCCTGGGTTCAATTCCCAGTACTTCCATTGAAAAAAAAAAATTACAATCATATCATGATGAATCTTGATCCTCAAAGAGTACAACAAAATAATATATTTGAACTTTTCCCTATTAAAAAAATACCAACTTAAAAAAAAAGAAAAAAGAAACAAAAACAAATAAAAGAATATTTTTAATAAACTTTGAATCATACAGTAAGCTTTCCTGTATCCCCTATCACCTCTACCCCCACTGCATTTCCATAGTATAAGCAAAAATCAAACCCAGGTTCACATAAGCAAATGCACACAAACACATTTGCAACACTATGAAAAAAACAAGGGCACTTAACAAACACAAAAACAGGGCATCCCAGAAGAATACAGCTACTTACATTAAGAATTTTAAGCTCTATTCTAGTAATAACTTTTAAGTGGCAGGACTGAATGATACATTGCTATGGTAAACCGAAAGTTCTGGTTATGAAAAATCCATTCTGATTATTTAACAAATCTACTTCAAACAAAATCATTTTACATGTAATCTGGGTCTCACATATTTTTCAGGAGTGTGTTGCTACATTGTTTTTGGTTTTGTTTTTAATAAACTATAATTCTTCAAACTAAAAACCAGTCCACCAAATACAGTGTCAATGTACTCTGGACACAAAATTCAAGTTGTTTCTGATAACTTATCTGGTAGAAGGAATTTTTTTTCTTACACTGTACCCTTTGCTTAGGAAATTAAGTTGATTAGAAATAACTTTCTAGATGTTTAGGATTATGATTACTTATATGTCTCCCTTACATGTTCAAGTACTTCCCTAATCTTCTACCATGACCTTTTCTTATATCATTACTTTTATAATAAAAAATGATTTTCAAAAAAACAATTAAAAGAAATAACAGAGTAACTGAAAAATGCTCTCAAAGTGTTCCTGGACTTCACTATGAAAATATAATTAAACTGAAATTTACCTATTTCCCTCATATTATGCTGCATATGAACAGGTTAAAAAGCACAGTGGTAAATGACATAAAATAAAATTCAAGAGAAAAAACAAAAGCCTAACTCCGAGTTAACCCCTCCTGTGCCCCACGTGCAAAACGAAGATTCTCACTTACCAGGTTTATTGGCCTGGCCTGGAGGGAGTCTTCCATCCCCACACTAATACGTTCAACGGCCTGTGTCTATAATTACTTTCAGTGCCTGCTGAAGGTTTTTTCCCCCAGCTCAAAATTTTTGGCTCCCCTGAACCTTGATTTTACAGGTACTTGAGTGCAGAAGACACATCCTAAGGTGACCCCCTAATCAGATACATATCTATATTAGCCTCTCCCCTTGATTTGGGGCAGAATCTGTGACTCCTTCTCACTCCAGTTTAGCAGGTTCCGGTGAGAGTTTCTCCTGCTGGCTTTGAAGAAATAAGCTGCCATGTTGTGAGAGGACCTATAAAAGGGCCATACAGCAAGGATCTGTGGGAGGTTCCAGCAATTGAGACTGGTGTCTGCTGAGAGCAAAAAACAAGGACCTCAGCCCACTGTAGCGAGGAACTGAATACTGTCAAAAAACCACATGGCCCTGGAAGGGAAGCCCAAGCACCAAAAAGAAGCACAGCTCTATCCAACAGCTTGATTGCAGCCCTGTGAGAACCTGAGAAGAGAACTCAGTGAAGTTGTGCCCAAATTCCCAACTCAAGGAAATCGTGAGGCTTAAAAAAAAAAAAAAAAAGTCTGTTGTCTTTAAGCTGCTAAATTTGTGGTAATTTGTTACTCAGCAACAGAAAAATTTGGTATTGGTTACTTCTACTTCAGCAGACACTTAACCAAGAACTGATTATTAGGATGAATGCTAATTCTTGGAATTGTACTAAGTCTTATCCTTCCAATATGGAAATACATTAGCAAACTTTAACAATTCCTATAATCTCATATGGCCATTCACATTTTGGTTTATAGAATTCTAATGCATTTTTCATGCGTTTCCAAATTTTCTGCCATGTTCATATTACCGTCTCTCCCTGAGTTACATTTTCACCTCTTAAATGTAGATGCTGCAGGTACAATCCCTATCCTAGCAAGTTGCCCAGATGCCAAATAGCTGTTACTGCCTAAATACCATCAACCTGAGAAAAAGCAGTCAATGGAGCAAAGGTAATCTCCAAGTTCTAGCTAAGAGAAAAGTATGGTATAAAAAGAGCAAGGAGAATGGGCTTTTCACTGTTAATTTCTCCACCAGCCCTCCCCAAAACTGTCAGATTATTAATATTAACCAATAATGGACAGTGGTCAAGAAAGATACTGCATTCCACTTAAGAAAAAACAAAGGCAAATTTATAGAAATTAGGTAAGAAAAACCAGACATACTATAACCGGGTAGAAATTAGGTGTTACTTAGCATAAAATGTGGTAAAAAGAAGTGAACAAAATCTGTCATCAGTGCCAGTCATGTATCAAATGATAACCCACATCAGATATGCCACACTCATGACCCCTGACTCTTAGGGCCTCCAAGCCACTTTCTCATCATTACTTTCATTTCCCAAGTATTTCAAACTGAGGGAGGAGGAGGCCTGGATGGGTGATACAAGTATTCCAATCACTAGAAAAGATTGTGTCTCACTGTAAATTAAACTAGCAACCTGATTAACAGTGCTTACAACGTGATTACCAACCAGACTCAAAGAGGAGGAACTCCTGGAACAGTAAGTCTCAGACCCAGACTTTGTTACTGAGGTAGGCAAAGAACCTCAAGAGACCACGTCCACAGCCCTACTACTAGCACAGTAACTCTCAAACAGCTTTTAAAATTAGAACAAGGCATCTCTAAATCCAGTTTGAACATAATCAGAGAAAATTAGCATATAAAAATAACTTCTTTTTTTAAATGTCTATAAAAATAGTATAATCTCCATTATTGAATTACATACTATATTTCACTGAAACTAAGACACTGATTGTAAAATGCAACATTACTTTATATAAGTAAATGGAAAAAACATGTCAATTAAATTTAGCCACAATGTTAAATGATCATTGATTTTAACACACATCCTGATTTTAGAGATGTTAAAAATGTGAAAAAGGTGCATCTCAGAATCAATGAAATACAGTACTAAAAATGTATTCTTCAGATAATGATTCAAATAATTCAAATAAAGTATTAAACACTGAGTCTCTTAAACTGACATGTATTCATCATCAGTAGACTTCCTTAAAGCTATCAATTTTTTTCACTTCTCATTTAAAATGAAGACTGGGGTGGCACTTATATTAATTTCTAGAAGACATCTTGCACAAACTCCAAAACTTATGGATTCCTAGTTTGAAAGTCATCTTATTTTCATTCAGAATCACAGATCAGGAGATGAGATAAATGAGGCTTCACAAGTTAAATAACTGAGTACAGGGTCAGAAGACAAGTAAGCATCTGTGAAAGCCTTAAGTCAGGTCTCTGGGGTCCTGTTCTGTGTTCTCTTCATAGAAATCAGAAATCATGAGTCATTAGCATTCTTTGGTCCAACACTACAGAGTAAAGCAATTAATAAAAATCTATGTCCATTTTCAAAGATGCTCTTTTATGAAATGACTCTCCTCAACTTCCCTGGTAGAATACTGATGACTAATATTTTGTTCAGCTAACCAATTCACCTACTACACAGCTTCGTTCTATCAGGACGGCACCCAACTTCTCAAAAACAAATGCCTTCTCTGCATGCTCTGCAGGGGGAAGGCCAGAAAATATTAACTAATCAATCACATGCCAAACACTAGCCTCACAACAAGGTCCTGCTGTATGAGACCACTGATTCTTTATGAAAGACCCTGGGAATTACAGAACGTTTCAAAACTTTTCAGCATTTGGTATACTCGGACCTAGAAAGTTTGATCCCCAAAGCATGTTGAAAATTTGTTATGCTTTGCTCTGACTGGTTTCTTTAGAACTGGTAGTAACTCAAGGAAGTCAGTAAATAATCCATCTCCTCTAAGCATTAGTCCCTTTTGTCCTGGTTTCTTGCAAGGTGGTTCCCAGGGGACTTGCCAGTATTAACTGGAGAGGACTCAAACATTAACACATTTGAGTAGGATTGGTTGGAGACTTCAGTTGTGGGCTCCATCAAGATATTTCTAGATGTCTCTATTACAGAATTCCTCGTTGTATCATTCATTTCAATCACTTCAAAGTCCATCTCATTCCATTTTTCTGCATCTTCTTCTTCATTCTCTTCCTCATAGTCATTTAGCCCAGAGCCAGAGAGCAAAGCTTTCTGGTCCTCACTTTTCCTGTGTTCCTTTCGCTGATGATCAAGAGGTGAGGTGGCTAACTTATACAGCACAGGGAATAAAATAGCAGTGGCTACTGACGACCCCAAAGAAGTGTACAAAACTACAGGCAAATCTGGGTATTTTCCTTGAAGAATTCCAATTACTGCAGGAATAGCCATTTCTCCCAGGGCAGCACCGACTACAAAAAATGCTGCAGCTTTCCCATGGATGGTCGTGTACTGCTCAATCCAAGACACACCACTGGGAAACGTGGTTGCCATTGAGGCCCCATACACTGAAGTTGCTATCCAGAGACAAACTGTGCTCTTGTTGAAAAGCACCAGAAATAAAGATGAAGCCAGGCTGCCAATGTTGCTCAACACAATCATGGTTCCAGGTTGTAAACACGTAGCAAAAAAGATTGCCATGCCCCTGCAGGCGGCAAAGGTCCCCCAGAAGATGGAGTTCAACCCAGCTGCTTCACTTTCTTTCATGCCAGCATGGGTGGTTGCAAATGAGAAAACGTAAGAGCCGTATGTTACCTCCGCTCCAACATAAAAAAAGAAGAACAAGAAAAGGAGACAAAGAAGGGTGTTGTGGTATTTAGCTCTTCGAGACTTCTGAGCAGACACTTTTGCTTTTTCCCACTTGGAGCTTTTTGTTAAGAACAGAATGAATAAAAAGAGAGAAACCACAAAAATATAAGCACCAATAACAGCATAAGCCCAAAGTAAATTCATATCATCAGGTATTCCAAGTAGAGGTTCTGAGTCAGCTTCAGGTGACTGGTTGAAGGCAGAATGGTTAAAGTCAGCCTCTGTGTGGTTTTCAGCAGGCACCACCATGCCCAGTGCCAATTTAGCCAGCAGTGGAGCCAAAAAGGCACCCAAGGCAAAACTGAAGTGTAAGGCCTGCATGTGTGGGGCTCCTTTGTCCCCCCAAATAGCCAAGATTAGGACGTTACCACCTACCAATGAAAGACGGGGAGAATGATTTAATTATAGTAACTTCGTAAAGAAAATAGTTCAATACTATTAGAAAGAAGATGAGTCTATTTTACATGGCACAAGGATTATAATATTCTAAGTTATCAAGTGTTGCAACTAAGTCACTTCTATGATTAAGGAACTCTATCCCATCAACACCAGAGAACTCTAAGCACTGTAACATCACACACTCACAAATAGAAGTCTACAAGCTAGTAAGCCACTACTAATGAGCCAGGCACATTAGCCTAAGGCTTTTCTTTTTCATAATGCTGTTCTAACAGCAGGCTTAGGAGGGGAGGCTATTTATACATTTATTTATAAATACTTTAAATATATACTGCCATCAGATAGTGGCCAAATTATCAAATCCTTCTGCACTTGCAACTGGCAGCCACTTGAGGAAAATTATTTATGTATACAGCAGATGCGAAACACACGTTCAGGAACTTGAACAGTATAGGATTCTGCTGGGCCCATTACAGGAAACAAGGAACAAGGATACTCTTTAACATCTGCAGTTACACTGCCTGTATAGCTACAAGGTGAAAGGCAAGAAATATCAAGTCTTATGTTTTCTTATATAATTCCATCCTGTAATTTCACAACCAAATTAAGTCCAAAGTAAAAAATGTTTCCCTAATCTATCAAAAAGCAGTAGAGCAGGGAAGAGAGGGACAAAGCTGGTTTTAGGGGTGAACAAATGTCACATGTGTTATTTAGTACGTTTTAAAAGATTTTAAGACACAAAGAGATGATCTCCCGCACGAGGGCAGGAACTTTGAGAGGAAAAGAAAAGAAGGAAAATAACAAAGTACAGGTTTCTCTTGGTTCAAAAGGCAGAGTGCATTTTAAACTGGATAGCTGCTTCTGTGCTTCCTCAGCCAAGTAATCGTTCCAAACTTGGTTTTACCTATTAACCCATCAATTCCTCCCATATTGCAATGATAATATTCTATCCCCAGGCGAAAGCCCACTCATTTGCCCACATGGTGGGGAGTCGGGGGTAGTGGTGGGGGTGGCTTCCCTGTTTGAATACTGTAAATCAACAATCTCTCAAAGACCAAAATTCTCTGAATTCACCCTGCGGTTAGCTGCTCCACAACCGGCACCCTACTTGACAAGAAGAGTAGTTGCCAGAAGGGTGGTTCTGACTGGGAGACCTCATGACCAACTCAGTAGATCAGTGTGTCATTTTAGGGGACACTGCAAGTGATGATTTAATATCATCTGCTCTACTTTTTTCTAGTAGAAAGTCCCTACTCCCAGAGATGGAGGGCTCACTAACCTGTATCCAGAATGCCAATTGAAACACCAAAGATGGACATCATGACAATCAGTAACACTGCGGTCTTACAAAATGGAACAAGATAAAGACCAACTGTAGTTGCAAACATCGAAATCCCTGAGAAGAAAGGTAAAGGTCAGCTATAAAAAACAACATTCATGGAAAGAGTCATGGATCAAGTCAACATCATAAAAACTCAAAAATGTGAAACAGGTCAAATTAAAATTGAGTAATAAAGAGTAGATGAGAGGTTCAGCTTCTACTAATAGTTAATTTAAAAGCTTTTAATCATCTTTATGGACTAAAAAATATAAGTTATTCTAATATAAATACATTCATAGTACTGCTAATAATCAAACTATAAATTATACCACAAGGCAAAATTTTATAGCAAAACAGACAGCTCAAAATTTATTTAAATGTTTCATATTTAAGAACCTAAAGAGATTATTAGATATGAGGTAAAAAATAAAAAAGACAAAAATTAAATGCAATTACTATAGTAGTTTGTAGTAGAAATGTATTAAATAAATTAGTTTGGGGAACAGGGAGGGAACTGTAAGAAATACATTCTTTCAACCCACTTTGGAAATCAGAGGGATTGTTTACTCATTCATCAATAGTAAATTATTTTCCTTACTTCCAAAGCCATTTTATCACATTAATCCAGATTTCCCTTAAACATTTATTCAAAAAAGAGTAAGCTAAAAGCTTTGCAGTGTATTTCAAGGGTGAGGTAGAGAGATCTGGGGTCATCATTAACATGGGGCAGGAGGGACAAAAATTTACCCTTCATCATTTCACCCACCATGTCCTCCCACCTTCATTCTCAGTCCTAGGTCTAGTCTGGGCAAATTTAAAGAGTTCATTCTGATCTGTGATGGCCCTAAGAGAGCTGCCCTAAACCCTGACAAGCAGAGCTCTTTGGACATCCAGTATGATCCAGCAGTGGTGCCTAAGGTACAGTGCAGATTGTGAAGGCTAAGGATTGCTAACGCATGCTAGGACCAATCCAAATTTCCAGAGCAGTCTAGCATGGATTCCCAGTAACTGCCAAGATGAAAGCCGACACCAGGGAAACCTGATTTCCTCTGAGGATGCCTAAACAGTACACCTTTGAGCTGTCAACCATTCTGCCCGTTAGTATATTTCATATTTAAAAACAAACTGTGAATTCCTTGAAAGTCACAAAGAAGTTAGAATTGATGTTTACTTACCCAAAAGTAGAAAATGATTCATAGTGTCGAAAAGAACTCCACCAATCACAGAGCCACCCAAATATCCAAAGGCACGGCCCACAAAAATCAGAGAAAGACTGCTGATGTTGCGGTTCACATTTGTTGCCAAATCTTGAAACGTGGGCCCCAGAATAGCGACACTCATTCCCTAAAATTTAAAAAGACAGAACTTTTTACTTACAATTACTAAAACAATATCCATCTATGTAGTAGTTTTTTTTCAGTATTAAAAATGGAGGAGGGGATTTCAATGTAATGTAGGAGGTTAAGTTCCACAGTCAGGATACATTCATGATGACAATACTAGTACTCGAGAGCTACAGATTCCTATTTCAGGTGTGCCAAATTCTATTGTTTTTCTAGTTTTGACAACTCTGTTTTTTTAATTTAATTCTTTTGGCTTTTTGCTGCAATTCTATTTCCGTTTTTAACAATACCATGAAAGACTATAGTACTTTCTATTAACAGTAAAATGTAACATTAAAAATTTTTTGAAATAGTATTGTATAGCATACTGCATGTACAAATATCACAAGAATTTTGACATTAAAAATTTAAGTTATCAGGGGGAGGGTATAGCTCAGTGGTAGAGTGTATGCTGAGCATTCAAGAGGTCCTGGGTTCAATCCCCAGTACTACCATTAAAAAATAAATAAACCGGATTACCCACCCCCCAAAAAACAAAACAAAATTTGTTATCAAGCCATCAAAATATTATTCCCATTTTTTGATGTTGTTAAAACAGCAGTATTCCTGGATGGGGTCTTTCCTCTGAATTACACATATAAAACATGCAAGAGATAAACAATTTGAACATTTCTAAATCTACATTTTTCTTCAAAGAAAACCCAAGCCTCAGGAGCAGTCTGCAAGACCTCTCTAAGAGAGTATCACATACACATACATGCAATGAGTTTAAAAATAAAATTTTATACAAGGGTGATGTAATATTAGCAGGAATTAGGGGTTACAGTTGTCTTTCATAGGAAATTCGTTGGACACTTAAAAAAATGTTTCCAATCGGTCTACATTTCAAAAACAAGTGATTCTAACTGCACTGCTTTGCTCTAAACGCTTGAGTGTAGCCCCTCCCCTCCCCAAGCCTGAGCGGTCCCCAACTAAGGGCAGGCCTGGGCAGAGGCGCAGAGTAAAAGCCTGCTACAGGAGGGAAGGCTGAGGCCCAGTTCTAACCAAATTAATTCCTGCCTGCAAAGCACTTGACAACAGACCTGGCACAGTGAGGCCTTACCAAGCGTCTGCAATGACTTTTCTTTAAATCTAAATACTCTTAAGAATCAAGTGTGGCTCAGAGAAAGACACTAAGTGACCAGAAGTGACTCTGCTCAGAGGACTCACTCTCCCACCAACCCAGGATCTCAATATTTAAGACAAGTGAAGGGGGGGGGCGGGTTCTGGAGTAAGGTAATCGCGGGGGGACGGGGGGTTGCCAAAAGGCGCTTCCAGCCTTGTAGTTTGCTCTAAGAAAAACACTGAAGGACCTGAAAATTTGTTTTACTTAAGGCTGTAGGCAGAATAAGAGATATTCCTGGCCCATTTAACCAGCTGTATGATTCGGAAGTCACTTTCCTTTTTTGGGTCTATTTCCCAACCTGTTAAAAATAAAGGGTGAATCTGATCAATGAAGAAATACCAGAAAAACAGATTTGTGCAATAATTTGGGGGGTGGTGGGGGGGTGGGGCAGCGGCTATAGACCTGGCAAAACCCTTTTGCATCCCTCAACCCCACAGAGGAGAGGTAGGCAGGTTTGCTGGAGCTGGAAAAATATTTAAGGAAAAACGAGTTCACACCGGACAATAACCCTCTAAGATTACAACAGTGCCCATTTTTCAGATTACGAAATTGAGGCTCGGGCAGATTCAAGCGCCTAAGGTCACAGAGTCTGCAAGTAGCGGAGACGAGACTGAGCGCAGAAAGCAGCGTTCCCTGCAGGACGCCTGCTCACGCTCCCGCATGGGAGGATTCCAGACCCGGCTCTCTCACCAGCCCCAGGAAGGAGGCACACAGGAGTACAGTGATGAACCAGCGCAGCATGCTCCCGGCCCGGCCGCTCCGGCGGGAGCTCGCCACCGCCTGCGGCTCATTCTCCGCTGGGGCCTCGGCCTGAAGGAGCCGCTGCCCGGCAGCTGGGGCCTCGGCCCCACGGGGTTCCAGTTCCAGCTGCAGCTTGTCGGCTCGCGAGCAGCGGTCTTGCTGCTGCCCGGCCTCTCAGCGGAGCCTCGGAAACTCAGAGCCTTGCCCCGGGCCGGACGCCTCCTCCCAGGAGGCGGCCCTAGTCAGGAGGGGAAGCGCCGGAGCGCGCCGGGTGTCGCAGGCCGCGGGCGCGCGCCCTCCCACACGCGGCTCACGTGACGGAAATGTGGTCTCTCGCCAACCGCGGCCTCGCCTCAAACCGGAAGTTAGTAGCGTTGCCCAGGAGACCCGACGTCGCGCTCGGGCTTCAGCATCACGCGAAGCAGAACCCGCGGAGCCCTGCGGGCGGGTGCCTTGTGGCGGAGTTCGCTGAAGCCGCAGCCTGGGACCCGACGAATCAGGAGTTAAGATGCAGCCAAACAGTCACGAGGAAGTAGGGGTCAAGAAATGCAAGGTATGGCTTCGCGTCCGCTCCCGGGTCTCCTGGAGGGCATAGGAACTTCAAGGTCTGTCCCTTATACAACTTTCTAAAACTCCTGCCTAGTTCCTGTGAGCTCTGTCGTCTCTTGATCTGTCGTTCATCTGTTACTCCATAATATTTGCTGAACCACGTATGTAAGTGTATTATCTCAGTTGATGCTCCTGAACACTTTAAATTCCATGTTATCCTCGTTTTATAGATGGGAGGATTGAGTCATGGAAAGTAGCAGCTTGCTTGGTCAGTCAGCGAATCAGTGGTTGTATGTAAACAGTGTAACAGTAATTAAAGGAAGAAAAATTGAACCAAAGCTGCGGTTTCAAGCACGCTCTCAACCCAATCCCTACAAATAATTGCATTGTTGTAAGGAAGTGGAACAGGGCATTTGCAGTCCCCGAATAAGGTTATGCCAGGGGAGAAAGAAAGGCCTTATCTTCTGTATCCTACTCCCAACTTTTTTTTTCTTTTGCTCTTCGACCACACAGACCACAGCCTCAAAATGTGTAAATATTTTTCTTTATCATCCATCTGAAATGTTTTTTTCCACCTGATTACTCTCCCGCTCATCCGCTTAGGCTCCCAGATTATGCACACCTGAGTCGCATCATTTCCCTTGCAACCCAGATGCTATGATTTAAGAGAACCTGTTTTAGTTTTTCAGAGTCAGGGAATGTCTCTGAGAAAAGTTTAATGTGGTTGAAACAAAAGTTTCAACTCTTTAAAAATACATATTTTAAAGAGAATAGAAGATGATATGGGAGAGGTAGGTTAGGTTCAAATTGTTAAGTATGCCATACTAAAGAGTTTTGACTTGAGTAACACACTATTACTGGCCTACTGAAGTTTAATAAAATAAAAAATATTTTGTAGGAGTATCAAACTTCACAATATTTCATCTTTATCACCTAAAACGGAACTCATCTTTTTCCTCAATAAATCTGTACCTACTCTGTAGCATTCCATACTGGTACTACCATCCACCCAGTCGTCTACGTAAGAAATCTGAGATCCTACCAAGATGCTTCCTTCTTTCTCTCCCTTCAGTTTATCGCCAAGACCTGCCTATTTTACTTCTATAGATATTTCTAAAATCAGGCGTCTACTGTGTATATATCATCCCAAACTACTTTTAAAATTTTATCATCTCACCAAGACTGTTGCCCCAACTTCCTAATTGCTTTTCTCTCCCTCGTCTTCTATTCTCCAAATCCATCTTTCACCCCTAACTGAAACGAAAATCTAGTACATAAAACCCTTCAACTCCTCCTTAAAAATAGAATCCAACTTTATCTGCCCCTGCCCATCTCTCTAGCTTCACCTTGTTTTGTCTCTGTCTTTTTATTTGCATCCCAACAACATCAAAATTGCTGTTAGGTCTTTGCTCACCTTATGTTGTTTCTCACTTTCTTACCTTTGATCATACTGTTCCTTCTGTCTAAAATGCCTCCCTTCTCTTTCACCTGCTGTGGCAGAGGCTGCTATCTATTCATCAAAATCCACTTGCCCTTTCTTCTTAAGTAGTTAAATTATAACCCAGCGCATGGCTGCCCAGCTCCACTACATCTCCCAGCGGAATCTGCAGTTAGGGGTGCCAACAGAATATGAGCAGAAAGGCCAGAAGCCTTTTGACTCTGGATGTGTGTTCTTCCTCCATGCTGTCTTCTTCCTTCCTCAACTGGAACCTGCACATGGCTGTGACAGAGTTTCAACTACAGAGATGACGATAAAGCCTTAGGGCACTATAGACCCATAAAATGAAAGGCGCCTGGGTCCCCGAATGATGTAAGGAGCAGAGCTACCCCACCTGTCAACCTGGAATCCTCCTCTATGTTATAGGAGAGAAAATCTCTTTGGCTTTTAAATCACTGATTTTTTTTGTTATGGTAGCATCATCTCCCCTAACTAATAGCACTTGCCTTATTCCTGCCTATCTTTTCAATAATCGTACATATTTTAAGGAACTTAAGAGAAAAAAAGTTTCTCATGTTAACCTAGATAGTTATATTTTTCTGTTGTTCTTCCTTCATTCCTGAACAGCCAGGTTTCCCTCTGGTACCCTTCTCCTTCATCCTAAAGAACTTCTTTCAGCATTTCTTATATGGCAGGTCTGCTGATAATAGCTTTCTAAGTTTTCCTTCATCTGAGAATGTCTTTATTTTACCTTCATTCCTGAAAACATTTTCACAGGATACAGGCATGTGGGTTGACAGTTCTTTTCTCTCAGCACTTAAAGATCTCAATCTCTTTCTCCTCTCCTTCTGGGACTCTAATGATTTGTCCATTAGACCTTTTTATATTGTTGGAAAGGTCCTTGATGCTCATATGTTCTGTTTGTTTTTCCCCAACTTTTTTTTCCCCCTTCTGCTCTTCAGTTTGGATAATTTCTATTGAGTTACCTATCTTCAGGTGCACTGCCTCTTTCTTTCCTCATCTCCATTCTGCTCTTGCACCATCCAGTGAATTTGCTTATTTCAGACACTGTGCCTTTCAGTTCAAAATTTCTACTTGGTTCTTTTTCATGGTTTCTTTTTCTCTGCTGAAGATGTCTGTCTTTATGTTTTTCTTTACTTTCTGGAGCGTATAATAGCTGCTTTAAAGTCTTTGTCTGAAAATTCCAACATCTGTGTTGTCTCAAGGTTAGTGTCTATTGCTTGTCTTTTCTCTTGGGATTTGGTCACCTTTTTCCTGGTTCTTGCATGACAGATAATTTTCTATTGTATCATGGACATTATGACAGTTACACAGTGCAGACTCAGAGTCCTGTTAAAATCCTTCTCTGGAGAATATTTGTTTGTTTAAGCAGGCAGTCAGCTTGGTTAAGTTCAGGCTGCAAGTTTCATATCACCTTACTTTCATATCACCTTCTGTGGACAAATTTTCAATCTCAGTTAAATTGTCAGAGTCTGTGCTTTGGATGAGAGTGAAGTGTTAGATGCATTATACTTGGGGACTGTACATCACTGTTAGGACCTATTTAATCTTCATTCTCTGGAGGTACCATCCTTTTTATTTATCAAATAATGTCTCATTTGTGCTTAAAGTGTATCATAAAAAACTAGGTGTCATCATAAGCTATCCTATCAGGAAAGTAAACAATCATTCTTTAACCTTATCACTAAAAGCCCCATCTATTAAAACCAACTCTCACAAAGATTTAATTTCAGTAAGATATGTATTTTGGAAAGTTAGAAATAATATTGAAAGGATCTAACATTGGTGTCTCATGGAACTAACGTTTTTACCTTATTAAAAATAAAAACCTACTGATTTTTAAATTTCCTTTTAAAAAATATAAACTTACAATTTCCTTTAATTGGATTCATTTGTAACATTTAGGGCTACAGGACTCTGAATTTACCATCATAGTGGTCTCCTTTGCTGTATTGATCAGATAAAATCTTTGCTGTTCTGTACAATTATTAACCAAAATCAGTTTATCAAGAGAATAAAGACAAAGTGACCATATTGAGAGCATGGATACTATAGGCTCCTCAGAAAAAAAAGACCGACATTTCTTACAGTAGTAGGTGCTTCAGGAGCAACTAGGCTCACCTGCGGTAAAAAGGGAGCCACTCTCAGCTTAGGTACCGTGTAGGAGTCTGATCTCCATCTGTGCATGGAAGAGCCCACTTCTCCCGAGCTGTGCACTGCTCCGCCCCGAAACAAAGGAGAGCTGCAAAGTTCAGGTGGCTTTCAGCGTTCTTGTTTGACACTGCCATCTAATACCTCACTTGATACTACCTGCTTGGAAAAAGTCCAGAACCTTTGGGGAAATCCCAGTCACAGTGTTTCTTTTTAAATTTCTAAGCAAACTACTTAGAAGCTCGCCTGTTCACTTATTTAGTCATTAAATAGCTGTTAAATACTGAGCATGTGCCAGGCATTGTTCTAACAGTGAAAAAACAGACAAAAATTCCTGCCCTCATGGACAAGCTAGACAGTGAACAAATACATTTGTAATAGTATGTCAAATTGTGATAAATACTCTAAAGACAAATAAAGCAGAAAAAGAGAAGAGAGACAGCAGGGGTTATTTTATGTTAAGGTAGTGTTAGAGTGATGTTTGTACAGAACCCTAGTTGAAGAGGGGG